TTTTATTGATGTCATTTTGAATGCACAGAGATACCGTGACGAGATCCTGAGGCCCATTGTTGTGCCATTCATCCTCGACCATCACCTCATGTTGCAGCATGATAATGCACGGCCCCATGTTGCAAGGATCTGTACACAATTCCTGGAAGCTGAAAACATCCCAGTTCTTGCATGGCCAGCATACTCACCGGACATGTCACCCATTGAGCATGTTTGGGATGCTCTGGATCGGCGTATACGACCGCATGTTCCAGTTCCTGCCAATATCCAGCAACTTCTCACAGCCATTGAAGAGGAGTGGACCAACATTCCACAGGCCACAATCAACAACCTGATCAACTCTATGAGAAGGAGATGTGTTGCACTGCCTGAGGCAAATGGTGGTCACACCAGATACTGACTGGTTTTTGGACCCCCCCGGACCCCCACAATACAGTAAAACTGCACATTTTAGAGTGGCCTTTTATTGTTGCCAGCCTAAGGCACACCTGTGCAATAATCATGCTGTCTAATCAGCATCTTGATATGCCACACCTGTGAGGTGGATGGATTATCTCGGCAAAGGAGAAGTGCTCACTAACACAGATTAAGGTGGGTCATAGTTACAGACTAACCTTCATTTTCTTTGTTAGTCCCCTATTCTGATATGCAGCCTTTGTAAGAGTGATGGACATTTGAAACAGGACTGTCCCGAGGACTTCAAACGAGTGGAGCTGGAACCCCTTCCACACATGACTCTAGATTTCGTCAAACTCCTTAATGATGTGTGTGAGCAATGCTACTGTAAGTACAGGGTCAATATTTAAAACATCATCTTCAAGACATTCCTATTTTGTTATTGTTATTTGTGAGAACTAAACCAGAGGATGAAGAATATTATGGGTGTATGCAGACACATTTATTGTATTATAATAAGGGTTGTCAAGCATTTAAATTTTAAATCTCATTAATTATGTGATGTGCTGATTAAGTAATGGAATTAATTACAAATAAATAAATAATAATAATTTTGACTGAGAAATGACCCCCCCAAAACAGTATTTACTGTCATTTTTGTGTTAGATGAGAAGTAGCTTTAGAAATAAATATTTTGATTCCATATTGCATAAATTATGATAGTACATTTTTTTTTTTAAGATTTATTTTTTTTGGTATTTTTGCCTTTAATTTTTTTTTTGTTGATAGGACAGTATAGCAGTGACGGGAAGCAAAGTGGGAGAGAGAGAGGGGGGCTGGATCGGGAAAGGTCCACGAGCCGGGACTCGAACTCGGGATGCCTGGAGCGCAGTGGCACTATATGTCGCTGCGCTGCCCACAAGGCTATCGGCGCCAACAGCATCATTTTTATTAATTATTCAATTGATTTTATTTCAATTTATATTGAAATATGAAATGATTTAAAAAAAAATATTCTCTCAATATGAAACATACCTCCAGAGGGGGTTATTTATCTAGAAAACATTTCATTTTAATTTGACATTTGCTTTCTTGCACTGCTAACAAGACTCTACAAGCTTTCATGGTTGCGGTTGCCAGATGTCAAGAGTTTAAATCCCCTATTCAGGGCTTTTTTTTTAACTGGATACATTTTCTGCCCAGTGTTTTACTAAATCTTCCCAAATTGACAACCATGCACACGCTCTCTCCGCACTACGGAAAAAACACTAATGAGCTGAAAACACCGGCAAACCTATAATATGGAGTTTAGCGATCTCCATTGAGTTGTTCTGCTCAAATAAAAGTGTAATACAGCCAGGCTGTTTTCTTTCAGACAATCTTTTGTGCTGTTGGCTGTGACTAAATCTGCGAGTTAACCATATGACTTGATGTTCTATTTATTTCTTAATAATTCTGATGAAAAGTTAAATAAATAAATAATAAAATTACAATATTTGTGATTATCGTGATTATATTTTTGGAAAATATAATCATGATTAACAGTTTAACCATAATTGTAGAGCCCTATTGTGAAATTGATATGCAAATAAATATGAATTGATCGATATAAATTTGAAATTAGTACATACATCTTCTAGATTTTTAATTGCTGTGTTTAACAAATGTTGAAATCTCGCTTGCACTAAATTTTTTGCATTGTTTCAGTGATTCATAAAAATGGTTGAATTCGTCTAGGTGACTTTGCGCCAGATGATGTGGAGGTGAATGTCAGAGAACATATTTTACAAGATTTCGAGAATTTCCTGAGATGTCAAGTGCCAGGTAATGTGTCTTGGTGTAACTGTTTAAAACCTAAATCTAATTTAAACACTTTACTTGAAGCCTTTATGTATAGACCAATTTAGAGTAGACGTCACAGTTACGTCACTTGCAGCTGCGCGCGCATAGTGGTTGCAGAAAAACACTGGGAACAAGTGGAGGTAAATGGGTAAAATCCATGGAATAAAAGAAAAAATATATTTTTGTGCCTTTTGATGTCAAGATCGGAATGCAGATCATTTTTATAGAATACTGTCGTCATTTGAAGCTAAACGCAGACGTTTAAATGGACATACTATGGATGAAAACTGCTATGATTCGTAAACAAACTTTTATTTTGAACGTGATTAATTGCGCTGCAGCCCTAATATATATAATATAATTTATATTTATGTGTACTGTGTATATTTATTATGTATATATAAATACACACACATTTATGTATATATTTTAAAAAATGTATGTATATATATTTATACTTGTATATAATTTATATTATAAGTATAAATATTTTATTTATAAATCAAACACATTTTTCCTTAATATATACATGAATGTGTGTGTTTTTATCTATACATAATAAATATACACAGTAAACACACATATAGTATGTAAGCAAACTTTTGAATGCAATTAATTGCGATTAAATATTTCGCAACACATATATATATATATATATATATATATATATATATATATATATATATATATATATATATATATATATATACACAGATCATTCAATAACTGGATTTGTGAGCTGGATATTTCTTAGTATTGCTTTCTCTATTTTGTTTTGTATGTAATGGGAGGACTGTACAGATGCTTATTTGTTAATGTGTATTTTTTAACAGGAGCCAAGTTGGTTTTGTTTGGTTCATCCAAAAATGGGTTTGGCTTTAAACAGAGTGACTTGGACATCTGTATGACTCTAGAAGGCCAGGACACAGCAGAGGTACCGTGACTTATTCTTTCAATTGTACAAAAATTGTAACAAAAATTTCAATTGAGGTAAGGATGTAACATTATGAAATGTGTACTGTGTATATTTATTATGTATATATAAATACACACACATTTATGTATATATTTTAAAAAATGTATGTATATATATTTATACTTGTATATAATTTATATTATAAGTATAAATATTTTATTTATAAATCAAACACATTTTTCCTTAATATATACATGAATGTGTGTGTTTTTATCTATACATAATAAATATACACAGTAAACACACATATAGTATGTAAGCAAACTTTTGAATGCAATTAATTGCGATTAAATATTTTCACGATTATAGTGACCAAAATTAACACGGTTATCAGTATTATCACGGTATTGTTAAAATGTGTTGGAGATGTTCGAGTACCGACACATAAATCACTTCACCAAGTTTTATATTTAAAAATCAACAAACAACAAATAAAATGATTTTTTGTTTGCATAATCACTAAAACAATAACATTACTAATGATGTTCGGATTTTAAAGGACAACTTGACTGACAACAGTTTAATAGCATGTTGAAATATCTAATGTAAATGTTCAAATAAAGCTTTGAAAAAGTTTCATAAAAAGGTAAACCTCACATTTCAGCCTTTAAATAAAGAAAAGATATGTCAAAATGATAATTGATTAAATAAATGATTATATGTATTTTATCTGCTCCATAAATAATTCTAGATAACTTATCTGAATTGTTTAAATGTGTAGAATCCACATAAGCTTGTTTTTCATCAACCGGTCAAAATTTACAGCAGGGCATGCGAATTCG